CTCAACTCTGCCTTTGATGTTCAGGGCTCCTCGATTGCCATATATAATCGATTTACTTGTTTTTTCAGATTTTTGTTGTAAGAGGGTCCACCGGAAGCATCTGACTACCCCGCCATCTTGGCCCCGCCCTCGTCTCTTATGTTTTTTCATATGTACACTAAAATTAAAAATAAGTCCTATAGAAAACTTATTTTCACATTAGCTATAAAAAGGATGCTACAATAATAATACGAAATCCATAATTTTTATTGAATTTCCAGGAACAGCTTTGAAATCTATAAATTACTAAAAATTTACTCTGCCGGATTGCATAGATTATCGATAACAAAACACTAAACACGTAGAGTAACTTTGTCGTGTGCCTAAATCATGATAGGATTCTGTTACCGATTTTTGTAACCAATTAGAAGGGGACACCAACATGTGATATTTTCAAGCCTGTAATTCAGACAGTTTGTAAGTTGCAAGAGGAGGTACTTACAGAGACCTGGTCAGAAAGACCGAATGTTAATGTTAGTGATCATTTCCCAAGCAGTGTTACTCGCTGAGACTTCCTTCTGTTTCGGGAAAGCTGAGCTCAGGAAGGAAACAGGGAATGTGGCAGGTGTTTTAGTGACTGCATGTAAAGTGACCCGTGGACTTGACTTTAGCACAGCCAGCCAGTCAGAGATCATGTATGAAAATCAGGAAGGGAGATGGTGGTTTGAAGTTGGGAAGACACGATATGTCCAGACCAGACCAGTCATTGACTGTGAGTTAGGGTAGGTGGAGGAGAGCGGAGTACGGGGGATGAGTCCAGAGCAGCACCAGACTTCCGGGGGCGATGGGAAGGCTCCTTGTCTTGATTGTGGTGATGGTTTCACCAGAGTATTCAGATACCAGCTATTCAAATTGTCCACTTTTAGATATTTACAGCTTACTATATCTCGGTTATACTTCAGTAAAGCCGGAAAATTAAAACAACAGTGTAATATATCTTTGCACCTCACATTTAGCCAAAGGTCATTAGAAAACCAGTCACCCTGTAGAGCACTGATGTTTGGTAAATTTGATTTTTAGCCACGTACTAGGAGACCTGGTGGCACAGCCATTAAGCACTTGGCTGTTAACTGAAAGGTCGGTGGTTTGAACCTACCAGCGACTCCACGGGAGAAAGACCAGGCTTCTGTAAAGATTACAGTGTGGAAAACCCTATAGGGTGGTTCTACTGTCACATGGGGTTATTCTGAGTTGAAGTTGACTCGATGGTGCCTGAGAACAGCAACATTAGTTGTGCACACGTTTGCGTGCTTAGTTTTCTAGCCTTTACTTGCTTTGTCTGAAAAAGGTATGGGGAGTAGAATTTTCACCCTCTCAAGGACAAGCTTCGTACTTGAGTGCAGCGGTCCAGCGTGGAGCTTTGCTTACGTTCAGAACTTTGTCTATCCTCTCTGTCTGGGCAATCTCATCTCGTCCCGTGGCTTCAGAGATCATGTGTACCGGTGATTTCCAAATTATATATCCAGTTGCAACCTGTGCCCTGAGTTTCTTACTCATGCAAAAAAAAAAAAAAAAAGAGTCCACCTTGCTGGATGTTCAGTAAGCATTTTATACTTACAACAGCCAAAGCAAACCCTTGGTTCCTGCCACGGCCTCATCTCCAGCATCTCTGTTTTGGCACAGCCACGCCTCCATGGCTAGGCCCACCCCGTGGGTTCTTCGCTGCCCTCTCGGTCCATCCTTGAGTCCTGTGGCTCTACCTCACAACTGTCCTGAGGCTGACCGCTCTTTTTCCAGCCTAAACCAGCCTAATTTTCTGCCTGCCTAGAACAGCCTTTCTTATAGCGTTGCCTTCCCAAAGTCTGTTTTCATACAACAAAGTTTCTTTTTCACATGAAAATTGGCTCGTGTCACCCCCTTCTTGGAAACCTTCAGCCTCCTCTCAGGTCCCACAGCCTGGGTGACCTGGCCCCGCCTGCCCTTCTGTGCTGGCAGCTCCTGCCACCATCCCCTCCTTGGTCCTGTTCCTAGCGTTGCCCCGGTGCGCTAGGCGGTCCCTGCGCTCTCGGACTGCTTCTCCCGGCAGCCTCCTGCCGCTGCCCGTCACATTAGTCCCTGGGGCTCATCATAGCTTCATGCTCGTTACACCTGCCGCCAGCGGACAGCGCCTGGTTCCACCTGTGTTTGGTGTGTCATGGCCCCTCTGGGATGAAAGCCTTCGTCACTGTCGCATCCCTGTCGTCTGATCTAAGAAGTGCCTGGCACATAGTGTCTTTCAGTGTTTTTTGAAGGGGTCTTCCTCATCTCAGCTGCTGGTGCCCGTGTTGTTGCAGATCTCAGCCCAAGAACCTTGGGGTGGTCCTTCTCTCCCCTCGTGCCTGGGTCGTTGGCAGTCTGGTCAGCTGTCTCCCAAATATACCCAACATCCGACTGCTGCTTCCCGCCGCCTGGCTGAGCCACCACCACGTTGCTCCTCATTGCAGCTATTCCCCCTTCCCCTTCCCCTGCCTCCTTCCTTTCTCTCATCCAGTCTCTTCACGCACAGCCTTGGATTCGCCTGGTAAAACACAGTGACATGAGACCATTCATTCCTCAGCTCTAGGGGCCCTCACCCCTGTCCCCTCATCTCGCCTGCTTGTCCGCGCCACTCCAGCCCCTGGCTTCCGCTCCTCCCCCAGCTGTCTCTGCAGCTTCCTCCTGCACTCCTGGTGTCTCATCTTCTCAACGAGGCCCTCACTGGTCACCCCGCTTCTAAAAGGGCACCACCCTAGCCCCAGATGTTCTGTGTTCCCCTTCCCTGCTTCAGGAGTTGCCAGAGTATTCTGTATCTTGCCCTCATTTGTGTTATCTTTCTTCGTCTTTGCCAGGAATGTTAGCTCCGCAGGGGCAGGATCTTTGTCTTACTTATGGTGTCCCTGGTGCCTGGAACAGCATCTGGCACGTGGCTGGCCCGCCGTACTCACTGACTGACTGCATGAGTGAACGGATGGGACCCCAGCTGGGTGGTCTCCAGTTGGCTTCAGGCGTGGGGGCTCTTGTGGTGATGTGGCTCCGCGTCTCCTCGGTGGGCAGAAAGGCAACCTAGGGAGGCCTGGTGGTTTTTGGCTGTGCTAGCGATGGGGGCTGTTCTCTAGGACTGGGGGAAGGAGAGGGCTTTACATAGACTTCGATCAGGCTGGTTCTTTGTCATGATTTAGACTCCTCGGATCTGTTGGTACAGAGAAAGACACCTGCCCCCGGTACTCTGTGTTTTGGGGAGCAGTCTGGTGCTTTCTAGGACACGACCGTGCGATAATACGCAGTTCTCTCCCCTTCTCCCCCTGACATTCACGTGACTGCCGAGTTGGCTTCGTTTACCCCGTAGAGCCCTTGCACGTGTGATGCAAGTCCAGTGGTTTTGAGCACTGGTCTGTAAAGCATGTAGAGATACCCGTGAAAGCCTTGGAGTCTTCGTGGCGCTGTTGTTCATTCCTTCAGTTGTGCATTCACTGGTTCAGCCGTCTGAGCACCTGCCCTCTGTGACCAGCACTCCAAGCTTTAGCAATACAGCCTGGGGTTCGCATGTGGCATTCTGAGTCATGTGCACGCTCGGTTGACATCCAGGTGGACAAGCACTGTCAGAGGACGTGTTTGGGTGCCGGTGACCCAAGGAGAGGAAGTGAGCGTGTGGCTAGGGATGCGTCAAGAGGCTGGCTAGACAGGATTGTTGGACGTTGGAGGAGCCACTAGCTGGAGCTGGAGACTTTGTCAAACCCCTGCAGTTCCAGCCAGAAAGCCGGGGCTCAGGGTCCCTTCTGCCTTTCTCCTGAGGGTAGCGCAGCAGGGGTGTCTTGGGTGGTGACAGATGAATGGGGGCTTTCTGCTGCTGTGCCCTGCCTGGGGAACCGGCTCTGCGCGTTCTTCCCCTCTGTCCTTAGTGTGCAGAGCAGGTTTCTGTCTGGAAAGGCCGTGACTGCTCCGGACAGCACGTTGCCCAGGTGCCAGCAGGTTGTTTCCTGTGGGGGCAGAGGCAGTGCTGGGTGAGGGCTCATTCTGGGTCATGCTGATTTGGGCTGAAATCGACCCCACTGCTTGCTAGCCCTGCAGCTTTAGGCAGGTTTCCAACCTGTGAACCGTACTTTCTTCTTTTCAAGGCTAATTTTATTTTGCTGATAGGGTAGTTGATAATCTTTTGGGGAGAACCTAGGGTAGTAATCTTGTCTGTTATTCCTGGCTTTGAGGCCCCTACCTTGCCATTACCCCTACCCCATGGTTTAGGACCTATTTGAAAAAGTAGACGTTGAGATCTGATGGCCGGAGGTGAATTCAGAGTTTTTTCTGCTGAGCCTGGGAGGGAGGCTGTGTGGCTGGCTGGCCACGGTCAGGTCCCTGGATGTTCATCTAGAATCCAGACCTTGGACAGCCCTTCTGAGAGCGTTTGGGTCTGCAGACACGTTATAGCCGGGACTGCTGCCTCAGGTCTGAGCCTTTGTGTGCAGATCCTTCTACAATAGTGGCTTTGTACCTTTGTGGATGGTAGAAAGTACTAATGCTTTTGTGTTGATGAGGCCGACAGAGTCCAGCATGTGGCGGGAAGTAATACAGAAATCTAGGTGAAGGGATTAACTGGATGATTTCCTAGCTCCTACTAGAATTTTCTTTATGGCATTATTATCTTTTTTGAAGTATTATCAGTTTCTAGAACATAAACCCATTGCCGTTGAGTCGATTCCGACTCATAGCGATCCTGTAGGGCGGGGTAGAGCTGTCCCACAGGGTTTCCAAGGCTGTAATCCTTACGGAAGCAGACTGCCACATCTTTCTGCCGCAGAGCTGCTGGTGAGTTCAAAACGCCAGTCTTTGGGTTAGCAGCCGAACGCTTAACCACTGCGCCACCAGAGCTCCTTGAGAACGAGAACACTAGGCACAGTTGTATTCAGTAAACTCCCTGTTTTGTGTTTCGCTATATGAACATATATGTGTGTTGTAATTTTAGAATTCTGTGGTATTTTTTAAGGATCTTGGGTGTGTGGACCAGGTTTTGAAAACAGAACTTTTTTTTTCCTTCTGTTTCAGACTCCTTTTAGTTTTGGCATGAATCATAGAACACCACCCTACCCCGCTGGGGATTACTGTCTTCTGTGCAGAAGTGAGCGGAAGGACTCTTCGTTCCTGGAGAGTGGGATCAAGACTGCGAGTAAACTGGCCCTCTCCACGGCCCCCAAAGGCAGCAACGTGCTGCACCTTCCGCTGTGGGTGTGCCCGGACTGCCGGCGGACGGTGGAGAAGGAGGAGAGGCACGGCCTCGACCACACCTCGGTAAGTCGGCAGCGGCAGGGCCTGGAGACGTTGTGCTCAGCTGCCTTCGCGTCCTTTCTGTGACATCGTTAATTGGCCAATAAAATAAATTTGGCTTTGCTTTCTGGAACTCTCTCCTGTACCATTTCCTGGCCCCTTGCTTCACCCTCTGGGAAGTTCTTCCTGGTCTCCCTGGCCTGTCTGAAGTAGGTGCTAGGGAATCTGCCCTGGGCCAGACACCTCTTTGTCAGCAGGCTGTGGGGCACAAAGGGGATTTTTAGGTTTTTTTCCCCTGGACTCAGGGTTTATTGCCTTGGACAATACAGTTTCCTCAAAAGCTAGTAGACTTTTCATGTATTTCCAAAAACCGAAACCAAACCTGTGGTGTCGAGTCGATTCTGACTCATAGCAACCCTGTAGAACAGAGTAGAACTGCCCCATAGGGTTTCCAAGGAGCAGCTAGTGGATTTGAACTGCCAACCTTTTGATTAACAGCTGAGCTCTTAACCACTCCACCACCAAGGCTCGTTCACGTATTTAGTTCTAGTCAATTCCATGTGTTAGCAACACAACTGAAATTCTTTCCCAGATGCTTTTCTTAAGTTTGCTGTTTGTTTTCCTTCTCTCCTTGATACCACGCCCCGGCTCAGCGGAGGCCGCCTCCAGCCCGTTAGTGAGTGAGAAGACTACACCCTTAGTGTGATCTTTGATACAGACCAAGTCTTAGTGGGCCTTGTTCCAAAAAGTTTTTCAAATCTACTATTTGGGTTTTAGACAGAGTTGGTTTTGCAACCATTTGAGGCCCCACATTCGAGGGCTTTTCTGTTCCCTTTGGTTTGTGCAAGATGCAGCTAGTAACAACCACCACACACTGCTAGTGTTCTGTTTCCTAACCGGGTACTGCTAGCCAAGTTAGTCCTAGTGGGTTGGAGTACGTTTCACCGCTGCATGTGTGGGGCTCCATCTTCTTGGAGTCACCTGTGTTTCCTATGCCACGTGTGCCAGCCAACTGCTAAGCCACTGACTCATGTTTTTAGGCAGCACCCCAATTCTAGCTGCCCGTTTCTGTAGTCATTAAAGTAACACTAACTTGCCTTAATAGCTAAACCTTGAGATCTCATTGCTTATTAAAATAGAAATTGATTTCTGACTTAGCCCCTTCCCACCTGCCCCCTTTCTCTGCTTCATTCTCCTTAGCTCTTATCTCTGGTCACCGTATACTTATTCATTTTGCTTGCCTTCCTTCTTCACTGGACTATACAAGAGGGCAGCAGTTTTTGTCTGTTTCCAAGAATAGTGCCTGGTCCGGCGTATGTTAGGCATTCAAAATACTCGATGAATAAGTGAATGAATGGCCAAAGAATGAATGGACCCTGGAATTCCCCTCATTAAAGCCTTATAAAAATGGCATAAAAACCCATTGCTGTCGAGTTAATTCCAGCTCATAGCGACCCTGTAGGACAGAGTAGAGTTTCCAAGAGTGTAATCTTTACAGGCTTGGTAAAGTACAAGGTCAGCGAAGAAGAGGAAGACCCTCAATGAAATGGATTGACATAGTGGCTGCAACCGTGGGCTCAAGTATAACGATTGTGAGCGTGGCGCAGGACCGGGCAGTGTTTCGTTCTGTAGTATGTAGGGGCGCTATGAGTCGGAACTGACTTGACGGCACCTAACAACAATCTTTACAGAAGCAGACTGCCACATCTTTCTCCTGTGGAGCAGCTGGTCGGTTCAAACCGCTGACCATTTTGGCTAGCAGCCAAGTGCACTTAACCACTGCGTCACCAGAGCTCCCTAGAAAGATGCATAGTCAGTCTTGAATTTTCTTACCCTAACGTCTTTTTGCTTTTATCATTTTATTGTTTTAGTTTTGTTTACTTTCTGTGTTTACTTAAAGTATTTGATCGTTTCCCCATTGTTTCATGGAAGGCTGCTTAGTATTATTTAAATTCACTTCCAATTAGCATTCCTAAATCTTCCCACGGACTAATACATTTTCTTTGCTCCCTAAGCTTTATTGTATTTTCTTCCTGGTTCCCGTCCTGCTCTTATATATTAGCCTGACTGTGCCCCCGGGGAGGCGCAGGTGTTGCTCATCCTGGTGTCAGAGGCAAGTGGCAGTGCCTGCCCTCCCGTCATTGGGCTCCTCACTTATCCTGGGTCATGGATCGTCTCTGTCAAGTGAGGCTTTCTCTCCTCACCAAATATGACCTCAGGGACCGCCTAAGTCGACCTGTGTTTGTAGACTTAGACCTTCTGTTACTTTTGTAAAGTTGACTTCTTTATTCGATCTGGTTAAAATTGCTGGGCTTTTTTTTTTTTTTTTTTTTTTTTAAGTGAGATATAGTTTACATTCAGTAAAATTCACCCAATTTAAGTATTCAGTTCAATGAGTTATGATAAAATGTATATAGTCATGTAGACACCACTACCACAATTAAGACTACGCTAGTCTACAATCATGGAAACACCATTATCACAATTAAGATTGTGTTAGTACACAGTCACGTAGACACCACTACCACAATTAATTAAGATTGTGGTAGTCTACAGTCGTGTAGATACCACTACCACAGTTAACATTGCTCTAGAATACAGTCATATAGACACCACTGCTACAATTAAGATTGTGCTAGTGTACTGTCGTGGACCAGCACTCCTCTGTCAGTGTTGTACTGTGGTGGCTTGCGTGGGGTATTTCAGATATCAGCAGGGTCATCCATGGTGGACAGGTTTCAGAAGAGCTTCCAGACTAAGACAAACTAGGAAGAAAGGCCTGTTGATCTACTTCTGAAAATAAAATGGCCAGTGAAAACCTTATGAATACCAGCGGAACATTGTTTGATATAGTGCCATAAGATGGGTCCCTCAGGTTGGTAGGCGCTCAAAAGATAACTTCTTCAAAGTAGAGTCAACCTTAATGATGTGGATGGAGTAAAGTTTTAGGGACCTTCATTTGCTGATGTGGCATGACTCAAAATGAGAAGAAAAGCTGCAAACATCCATTACTAATCGGAATGTGGAATGTATGAAATATGAATCTAGGAAAATTGGAAATCATCAGAAATGAAATGGAACGCATAAAGATCGATATCCTAGGTATTAGTGAGCTGAAACGGACTGGTATTGGCCATTTTGAATTGGACAGTCATATGGTCTACTATGCTGGGAATGACAACCTGAAGAAGAATGGCATCACATTCATCGTCAAAAAGAACATTTCAGGATCTATCCTGAAGTACAGCACTGTCAGTGATAGGATAACATACATATGCTTACAAGGAAGACTAGTTAATTCGACTGTTGTTCAAATTTATGCACCAACCACTAAGGCCAAAGATGAAGAAATTGAAGATGTTTACCAACTTCTGCAGTCTGAAATTGGTCAAACATGCAATTAAGATGCATTGATAATTACTGCTGCTTGGAATATGAAAGTTGGAAACAAAGACGAAGGATTGGTAGTTGGAAGATACGGCCTTGTGATAGAAGCGACACCAGAGATCGCATGATAGAATTTCACAAGACCAGCGACTTCTTCATTGCAAATACCTTTTTTTCAGCAACATAAACAGTGACTATACATGTGGAACTCACAGGATGGAATATATAGGAATCAAATCGACTACATCTGTGGAAAGAAACTATGGAGAAGTTCAGTATCATCAGTCAGAACAAGACTAGGGGCTGACTGTGCAGCAGATCATTGCTCATATGCAAGTCCAAATTGAAGCTGTAGAAAATTCAGTACAACCTTGACCATGTCCTACCTGAATTTAGAGACCATCTTAAGAATAGATTTGACACACTGAACACTAATGACCGAAGACCAGATGAGTTGTGGGATGACATCAAGGACGTTATTCATGAAGAAAGCAAAAGGTCATTAAAAAGACAAGAAAGAAAAGACCAAAATAGATGTCAGAAGAGACTCCGAAAGTTGCTCTTGAACGTAGGGTAGCTAAAGCGAATGGAATAAATGATGCAGTAAAAGAACCGAATAGAAGATTTCAAAGGGTGACTTGAGAAGACAAAAACCGAAGTATTATAATGAAATGTGCAAAGACCTGGAGTTAGAAAACCAGAGGAGAAGAACATGCTTGGTATTTCTCAGGCTGAAAGAACTGAAGAAAAAAGTCAAGCCTTGAGCTGCAGTATTGAAGGTTTCTATGGTCAGACTATTGAATGATGCAGGAAGCATCGAAGAAAATGAAAGGAATACACAGAGTCACTGCACCAAAAAGAACTGGTCGACATTCACTCATTTCAGGAGGCAGCATATGATCAAGAACCGATGGTATTGAAGGAAGAAGTCCAAGCTGCACCGAAGGCATTGGTGAAAAACAAGGCTTCAGGAATTGACAGAACATCAATTGAGATGTTTCAACAAATGGACGCAGTGCTGCGAGTGCTCACTTGTCTATGCCAAGAAATTTGGAAGCCAGCTACCTGGCCCACCAACTGGAAGAGATCCATATTTGTGCCCATTCCAGAGAAAGGTGATCCAGCATCATGTGGAGATTATCAAACAATGTCATTAATATCACATGCAAGTAAAATTTTGCTGAAGATCATTCAAAAACGGTTGCAGCAGTTCATTGGCAGGGAACTGTCAGAAATTAAAGCCGGATTCAGAAGAGGACGTGGAACCAGGGATATCATTGCTGATGTCAGATGAATCTTGGTTTAAAGCAGAGAATACCAGAAAGATGTTGAGCTGTGTTTTGTTGACTAGCAAAGGCATTTGACTGTGTAGATTATAACAAATTATGGGTAACATTGTGAAGAATGGGAATTCCGAAACACTTAATTGTGCTTGTAAGGAACCTGTACATAGAACAAGAGGCAGTTGTTGGAACTGACTGAACAAGGGGATACTGTGTGGTTTAAAATCAGGAAAGGTGTGTGTCAAGGTTATATCCTTTCACCATGCTTATTTGTTCTGTATACTGAGCAAATAATGTGAGAAGCTGGACTCTGAAGAAGAACGTGGCATCAGGATTGGAGGAAGACTCATTAAC